TTGAGAGGGGGAAGAGAAAGAAGGAGATGCTTTAATAAGCTGAAATATTTTTCTGTTAAAGCTATGGGCATGGACAGTAGTGTTCTGAAAAAATCTCCTTTAATTCATGACAGAGTATATTGGGAGGAATGGAGAGTTTCCAAGTGTGGATTTTGAGCAAATGATGAAGTAGTTGTGACACTGTGAGATGCTGGAACAGAGGGGGAGAAGTAATAGTTGAAGATTTGTGTCTTTTAAGAAGCAAAAAAGAAAACTTCTGTTTCCAGGGGGGCTCAGAAAAACAGATAGAGAACTTTTGCCTTTGAATAACTCATTCATAAAGATGACATCCCTGGACTCATGACCCATAACACACCTCAGAGTGATGGGAAATGGGAGGAGACAACTGATGGCAGATTTCTGGGCAGCTGGCATCAGAGAAATAGAAAGCTATGAAGAAAAATAATTTTCTTGTGAGAAACTCCATAGATAGCAGAAGAAGACTTCTGTTTCTCTACAAAGACTGATGAAAAGACTCTAGCAGGAATTGGGACTGTTGTAAACACCAAAGTTCCAAAGTTTTTTGTCTCTATGTTGTCATGTAAACAAGGGAATGGTTGGGTAGTGGGGGAGAAAAGGGTTGTTCTGGAAGTTTTATTCTGGTTTCTTATTCTTGTAGTTTTTGTAAATAAACTTTTTTTATTTCATTTAAGTTTTAAGCTTAAGTTTTGCTCTTGTTCTAATCTATATCTCACAGCAAGAAATAAGAAAGTTTTCTAGTGATTTTTTAGTTGCTGCTTTAAACAACACCAGTCAAGCAGGACACCTTTGAAAATGTAGACTGGGAGATCTTCTCAGATGCTGCTCTAAATAGGCCACGGTTCTCTCCAGTTTTCTCAAAGAATTTGGTTCCTTTTCCTTGCCCACTGCAGGTCATCTGAGCCGTGTGTTCAGAGGTGCCGATCCTGAGGTGAGTCAGAAAGGAACATTTGATGCTCCTGGTGTTTCAGAACTGTGCAGGGAACTGTGAGCTTGGCCTGTGGCAGTAGAGTGCAGAGGGCCAGCTGGGTGGGCTGAAAGAAGATCCATTTCCATGTTTACAACAGCAATAGCAAAGGCATTGTTGGCTATTTCCTAATTTTCCATTGCAGAGCTTTAAAAGAACTCAAAGCTCAGATTTGCAGAGAGAACGTTGCTTGCTGATAGTAGCCAGGGTGAACTCTCTAATTCAGAGCTATTTGCAGCCTGGCTGAATTAACCCATTTTAATTTAGTTGGAGAGACTTAGAATCCCATTGCTATCAAAGCTGATGATTTGTGCTTGGTAGAGCTGGTTGTAGAAATCGAGCTGAAGAGAAATAAGGTTCTAAATGATAGGGAGCTGCCTGTCCCTAACTCCACCATCTGTCCACAGAGCCCAGAAGCAAGAGCAGACTCTGCTGTGGCTCCCTCTGCTCCTGGAGAAGAGGCCAAAGAGGAGCAAAATGAGCAAAAGGAGCACGAGCCTCCAGCTGTGGTCACAGCCCAGCCTGACCATGCCCAGACAGTAAGTGCCAGTGCTGGGTGCTGCTGTCTTTAGTGCAAGGCAGAGCTGCAAG